TAAACTGCAGAAGCCTCTCTGCTGCAAGGCTAGAAGACCTGCAGTCGTAAGAACACACAACCGAGTGAACCCCCATCGCTTGTCCCAGCTCACGCCAACCTAGTGGTTGGAAAGCATGCAAAATGTGAGTAGATAAATAGGTACCACCACGGTGGGAAGGTAACGGCGTTCCGTGTCTAGTCATCTTCGGATAAACGCTAGCTCTATGGGTTAGAAACGGAGATGAGCACCGCCCCCTAGAGTCGGACATGACTGGACCAAAATTGTCAAGGGGAACCTTTACCTTTACCTTACAAAACATATGAAGAACTGTCTAACGCTGTCATACATTTTAAAAATCAAGTTAGGCTCTCAGCAGAAAGATACATATGGAGAAAGAGAATCAGGTGACATGGTGGAAGGATGGAAGATTGTTGGAAAGCTTAGTTGAAGTGAGGATTGCATTCTTTTCCCCAATGGTATCAGAACAATGCCTCCAATGCTCCAATCTGGAGCTCATCAGAAATTTCACCTCAAAGCGGTCAAAGAAATCCTGTAGGTTTTTGTACTGATTGAAGCATTTCGGCTCAAACATCCGCTGCTGATCCAGGACGTCATAGGCAAGGAAATCCACATAGGTGATCTAGGAAATTAAACAAGGAAAAGCATTTTAATCATAAACCTGAGATGAAGATAAGCTTCCATCTGACTCAACTTACATACCTTATTTCCTGCAAACCATTTCCTGTCCCCCAGAAACTGGGAAAAGAGCTTCAGCTTCCCAGGAAGTTCTTCCAAGTATTCAGGCTTCAGTTTTTCCTGCAAGTAGATTGGGGAATGTGATATACTGGCTCATTTCCAGCTAACCTCTTGGGAAACCTCAAACTTACTGGTGCTGCCCATTCCTAAGCCACCTTTTCTTCCCACCCCCACCATTCCCCAACATTTACGTTAAAAATATGAGTTTAATTCCCCTCCCAATTTCAGGAGTGCAGGAAGAAAGGATTATTTGCTAAGCTTTCTG